TATATATATGTATACATACATATACATTTATGTATGTATATATACATAAATACATATACATATACATACATATATACGTACATACGTATACATACATACATACATACATACATACGTATACATTTACATACATACATACGTACATACGTATACATACATACATACGTATACATACATACATACATACATACATACATACATACACACACACACACATATATATATATATATATATATATATACATACGTATACATACATACATATATACCGACGTATACATACATACATATATACATACGTATACATACATACTTTGGGGCAGCTGCAGTTTATCCAACTTCTGCTGATGGGCAACTGATTCAGATAATCTGTCTGGCTGTTTGGTTAATGCATTTTGAGAACAACTGATTATGGAGAAATGACCAATCTGTTCCTGTTCTGGATAAACAGTTGAGCTGTTTGTTTCGTGCGTTCTATAAAACTTCAATTTGTGTCGAAACTTAAAAAATCATGGCTCCACCACTATTGTCAAACACTTCGTATTTATGCACCAGCATCCTTTTCAACTATTAAATGCACAAATAAACTCAATACTCTCAAGTTCTTAAAAAAACCCCACTTAGCAGGCTGAGGTTAAGAAAAATATATTTAGAGAAATTGTTAAATTTTTTAAATACACCATCTGGTTGAATGTATTTATAGTCATATTTTCCATCCGCAAAAAAGACCAAATCAGCCCAAAAAAAAATTCACCTAAAATCAATCTCCCGCACAAGTTATTCCAAATACCTCAACTCGCACCAAAAATCGATCTTACAAACACCCCCTCAAATCAAGTAACCTTTCTTGAGAGGAAAGAAAAATCGATCTTACAAACACTCCCTCAAATCAAGTAACCTTTCTTGAGAGGAAAGGGCAGAGTTTAAGCAAATAAATGAAGAAGGTAAACAGAACGAGGAGATAGTCGAAACCCTAGTACCTGAAACAGGAGGTGAGTGTTTGAGGAACCAAGAGTGGAGACGAACCCCATCAGAAGAACGAAGCCATACTTCCTCATAGTTGAGGTGGAAACGAGAAGGCATGATGGTATATGCGTAGGAAAGACCCGGCAACACCGGCACATATACGAGTCACTCCTGAAAAGCCACCAATGTGTTCATTCCGACCTCCGCAATCCCGCCGACGCCATACGCGAACGGCTTGATCTACGAAGGATGCGTATGAGAGCAGCAGGATCACGGGAGTAATTATTAGATCGAAAACACGGACAGCGGGGGTCAACCCACGGTTCGCATCTTTCACAAATTATAAAACCCGATTTAAAATAAACTATTAATAAATGCGAAACAAACGAGAAGCCGGCATTTTCAAAGCGCCAAACAACCCTATGTGTTCCAAAGGTTAAACGCTACCATCGTCCTCTTTCGGCCAAATAATTCCTCGAATTAAGCAACAGAGCGAGCTGAGCCCGAGAAATGGAGACAGGATCTCAAGCAGAGAGATCAGGTCCTCCATACTCGCTACCTCCATACCGGTTGCAGAGCGAGGACATACTCTTCTGCATCGACATCGATGCAGAATCGTCGGTGGAGATGAAGGTCACTGGCGCCAAGGGTCGTCCCATTACTCGCCTCGATTCCATCAAGCAGTCGCTTCTTCTCTTCGTCAACTCCAAGCTAACCATTAATCCCGACCACCGCTTCGCCTTTGCCGTCCTTGGCCTGTCAGTTTCATGGGTTCGTGTTCTTTTCCCATTTTCGGTGTAATTTTTCTTCCTGCAATCACCGATGATTGAGATTTTGGAAATGGTGAGTTGGGGGAGGGGGATTTGTTCCTTCTTTGATTTTAAGGAATTTGTTGTGGATTTGGCTGAATCGGGACTAGAATGTTGAGTAAATCGCTAGTCTTTATGTTGGTGGATTTTTAGTTTTATTATTATTATTATTATTTGCGTTAAATTTTGTATTGACTCTTTATTGAAATCCTTGACATTTCGTTCCCTTAGGGAATAATTTTGGCTGCTTAAAGTTAGCTTTTGCTCGAAATGGTGAATTTGTTAGATTCCATAATTTTGTTGAATGCGGATAGAAATCAACATTTAATGAAAATAAACTCATTGCATCCCAAAATATATCTAGAGGCAACCTGAAAAGTAATGTTGATGAATGTAAACATTTCATTTGCGTTTTTTGATGTGTATAGCTTTCTGTCAAAATTGATGAAGCTAATTCATGATTTGAAAGGATTAACCACTTCTTGTGAAGTTTTTGTATTAAAAAAAAAAACATTCATCATTCATCCTCATTTTCCATTCGTTCTCGTCAATTTTGGACGAGGTTGTAATTTCACTCTTCGTAATACTTACAACAACAATAAGCCTTTATCCCCCCCCTAAGTGGGGTCGGCTTCATGAATCATTTTTCTCCATTGCATCCTATTGAGTATTATATTTTCATTTAATTCAAATTGATTAAGATCATTTTTTATAAAATATATCCAAGACTTTTTAGGTCTACCTCTACATTTCTTAATATAAGTCGAATATAAAATATCTACTATTCTAACCGAATCATCAGATGCTCGATGTTTAATGTGACCAAACCATCTAAGATGACTCTCTAAAATCTTGTCCGCCACTGGAGCTACATCAACCCTATCACGGATATATTCATTTCACATTTTGTCTCTAATTGTAAGACCGCTCATCCAGCTAGCATTCTCATCCTGACAACACTTAACTTAGTTTCATGCTTATCTTTAAAGGTTAAAGGCCAACATTCTGCGCCATTCTGCGCCACAGAGCATTGCATGTCTCACCACCATCTTATAAAATTTTCCTTTCAGTCTAAGCGGTATTTTTCTATCACACAATAAACCCGAAACATTCCTCCACTTAAACCAATCAACTTGAATTATGCTAATAACATTCTCATCTATATCACCATCACTTTGAACAATAGACCCAAGATTTATAAAATGTTCACACCTTTTAATGATTTGATCACCCATAGTTAACCGTCACTAGAGCTACTACTACTAAAACTACATTCTTTGTATTCAGTTTAGATATACTGAAATGAAGGCCTTTAGACTCCAATGTAGACCTCCATAATTTAAGTTTTTCTTTAACTCTTTCTCTAGTCTAATCCACTGAAAGGATATCATTAGCGTTTTTCTTTAACTCTTTCTCTAGTCTAATCCACTGGAAGGTGAAAGGATATCATTAGCAAAAAACATACACCAAGATACATCCTTCTGTAAATGTTCAGTAAGAGCATCCATAACTAAAGCAAAAAGATATGAGCTTAAAACCGATCCCTTATGTAATCCAACTGAAATAGAAAAATACTTGGTCGAACACAAGTATCAACTATAGTATACATGTCTTTAATGACCTGAATATAAGTCATATCAATACATTTCTTCTCTAGAACTCTCTTAGGGACTTCCCTTGGAACCTTATGATAAACTTTTTTTAAATCAATAAAAATCATATGTAGGTCCTCTTTACTCTATTTGTACTTCCCATCAAACCTCTCAATAAATGTATAGTTTCCATAGCAGACTTGTCTTGACATAAATTCAAACTGATTATGAGAAATCTGTATCATGTCTTAACCTATGTTAAATTACCCTCTCCCATAATTTTAAAGTATGACACATCAACGTATTTCCTCTATAATTTGCACACTCTTGTGCGCCTTTTTTTTCTTAAATATGAGGACCAAAATACTCTTCCTCCACTCCTTTGACATCTTTTTAGTTTTTAAAATAATATTAAAGAGTTTAGTAAGCCAAGAAACTCCAAAATCTCTTAAATATTTCCACACTTAAATTGGGACCTTGATTTTCTTTAAAGTCTCCTTAACTTCTCTTTTACTAATACGACGGTAAAAATAAAATTTTTATTATTATTAACGATACTAAGATCACTAGAATCAATCGTATTTTCAGAAATTTCATTGAAAAGTTCATCAAAGTATCTCACAAACCTACATTGAATATATTCCTTTAAGAGAAACACTTTTTTATTTTCGTCTTTAATACATTTTACTTGAATTAAATCTTTGTTTTTTTCTATGTTTGGCTACTTTATACATATATTTTTCACCTACTTTAATATCTATTCTATTATAACGATCACTTAAAACAAAATTTTTAGCTTCACATATTGTTCTCTTAGATTCTCTTTGAGTCACCTTATATTATAATAATCATTTAAAATAAAATTTTTAGCTTCACACACCTATGTTGAATATATCCCTCTAAGAAAAACACTTTTTTATTTTCGTCTTTAATAAATTTTACTTGAATTAATTTTTTATTTTTTTTTCTATGTTTGGCTAGTTTATACATATATTTTTCACCCACTTTAATATCTATTCTATTATAACAAGCATTTAAAACAGAATTTTTAGCTTCACAGATTGATCTTTTAAATTCCCGTTGGGTCACCTTATATTTTTCTCAGTTCTCTAAGTTTTTATATTTAAATCAATTTTTATAACAGAACTTCTTATATTTTATCTTTTATTGCACACTATTATTTCACCACTAATTATTACTATTTATAATTTTTTTTTCCTTTGATTTGTCAAATACATCTTTTGTCACTTGTTTAATACTGCTTGTTATTTTATCCCACAAATAATTAAGTTCTTCACGAACATCTCAAATCTTGAAATCTTGAAGTTTACATAAAAATATTTTTATTTGTGTATTTTAAGTGCCCCATTTAATTCCATGATAATGTTTAATTGTATTCTTTATTTTATAACCAATAATCTTAAAATTCAGAACTAATAATCGATGTTATGTACTTTAATTATCACTTAAAATGACCTTATAATCTTTGCATTCTCGATGATTTTTTTCTCATAAGAAATTAATCAATTTATGTCTTATTAAATACATTCTTATGAATAATAATATGCTCATCTTCTTTCTTAAACGAAGTATTAGCAATAACGAAATCATAAACTAAAGTAAAATCTAATATGATTCTACTTTTTTCATTCATTACTCCAAAACTGTAGCCACCATGAATAAGTTTAAAATTTTTTATTTCTCTACCAACATGTTTATTTAAAACTCCTCCAATAAAAATTCTTTCTTCAAGTGGTATTATTTGTATTAATTCTTTTAGGTCATTATGAAATTTTTCTTTTAAATTTATATGTAAACCTACTTGAGAAGTATAAACACTTATGACATTAAAAATCTTATTATTAACAATAATCTTTAGGGCTATAATTATATCTTTAATTCTATTAATTTTTACAACATTATTTTTCATACTCTTTTCAATATTTACATCTACATCATTTTTATTGTGACTCTTACCTGAATACCAAAGTTTAAAACCTAAGCTATCAATCTCCATAACATTTTCTCCGACCCATTTTGTTTCTTGAATACGTAAGAAATTTATTTTCCTATGAATCATAATATCTACTAATTTCATTAATTTACCTGAGATTACTTATATTCTAAGATCTTATCCTAATAGTAATTTCATAGACTAATTTTTTTGTCTGCATCCGTCCGTTATGTTAAAATCCTTGTTTATTTGGCGCTACATCTAGGCACCAGTGTAGTTACCTTTATATACTTTTCACTGTATTCATTTCATATAATGCATCACTTCCAAGGGACGCCCTGACACTTACACAAGAATTTAAAGCATTCATGTGATAAATTTTTATTATATTTGATCGAAGAACCAAAATCAATTTTTAACTACATTGCCTTCAATAGATTTTACTCAAATCATTTCTTTATTACAATCATTTCTCACTTATCACTCTTTGAGATATAAGGTCCTCCTGATTTTCTGTTCGTTATCCATTTTCTATGGCTTACCCAGAGAAGGAACTAACTAAACTATTTCAAGGCTTGGGTAGGGACCTAATTTACTCTTTTTCTTAAAGAGTTATATAAAAATTTTCAATGTATTGTCTTCTAGAATGGTATTGCATTTGCAACTTTCGAAATTCTCTGGTGAAACGTCGATCTTCTAAATTGTTTTAGGCATCTTTAATGAGAAAGCACATCAAAAGGTTACATGAATTGAAATGACTTATGTGGCTGTTAGATTGACACATAAGGGCAAATTTATCTTTTATTAGCTTACTGGCAATTTAGCTTTTTTTCATTTATTATGGTTTAATATAAATAGGACTAATACGTTTAGTGTTAGGATTATGCATGAGATTGTTGTCTTGGAGTTTTAGATTTTCTACGTCTATAATTATAGGATGTGGGAGAGATTTCTTGCCTCTTAAATTGTATGTGCTTATCTTTATCTATTTGTGCTGTGCTATTTGGTGTTTTTGAAATAAAAATATTCAATGCCCTAATTTCTATGGATAATTTGCTTGGATCCTATCAACTGGTATTAGAGCGTTCGATTCTGGGAAGCTAACATTTGGATCGCGGCATATAGGTTGACAAACGATAGGAATCGAGGCTTACAAATCCTTGTGACCTAACCTCCCAGCAGAATTCCGCGATACAGTCATTGATCTTGGGAAAGCAACGATGTGATCTTGGCAAAAGGAGACCTTCATGACTGAACTTCTCGCTAGAGCAGCAATGCTACAGCGGTAATCGAGCCTACAAAAATGACGATGGGATCACGGGTAAGAGCTAGCGAGAAGGTCATGTCGGATCTTGGCTCAATGGTGATTTGTCGTGATTAGGCTCATTGGTAAGTGAATCGGGATCATGTAATACTGTCACAATTTTTTTTCTTGGTTGGGAAGCAATGACGGGATCGACGTGCATACAGGAAGCAACAGATCAATGTGCCTGAGAAGTTGTAGTTGGGATCGGCTTACAGAGACGTGTCCAATAGTTCCATTAAATTGCATATAGGAATTTTGGGATCGCGGCGTCAAGAGTTTTGTGTACGCTTAACCTGCGTTCAGAAATTCATAATCTCGCGATCTCAGCGTAAGGAGTTTTAAAACCGTCCAAGAGCATAGCCAAAAAGGTTGATGCTTTAGAGGAAAAATTAGCTAAAAGGGTTAGTCAAAACAGATCTGAAGCAGAAGAGCGTTTCTTAACCATGGAGGGGAGGTTCACAACCTTAGAAGAAATGATAAATAAGATTGCAAAATCCCATACAAACCTTCTATTACCTGCAGGGGATCAAGCGACGACATCTGAAATTGAAGCGAGCGGTGACAATAAGAAGAATTCACGCAACATCCTACCTAAGGTGGATCTAGATCTGCGAGATTGGGGGAAGGAATGGGAAGTGGACTTGATCGTCAGCAATTGGGAGTGAGATGACATCCAGATGGCTAGAACGAGAGGCAGTAGGAAAAATGGGACAATAGGCAATTCGGGGTAGGAGATGATCGATTTGAAGGATTTTGACCAGAAATAAGGAACCATGGTGGATGGGACCCCAATAGAGGGCAACGTCCAAGAACACCAGTGCTTTTTGTGGCGCTAATCTTTCGAGCAGAAGGCGATTATGAAGCTTATGGAGACACGCAAGTTGATTATTGGGCGCGCTAGGCGTATGAAAGAAGCAAAATTAATAAGGTTTGAGGAAGGGAAACCCACTTCTATGTCATGGGGGAATGAATTTCGTGCGACGGAACTGGGGAGGAGACTCACACATAAGCGTAAAGAAACTGAAGATGCCGATCATTGAAAGAGAGGATGCCTATGGTTGGGTTTATCGAGTGGAGATGTCTTTTGCCATTAACGGGTTGATAGAAGAAGTGAAATTGATGGCGGAGGGTCTGTGATTGGAAGTGAATGCTCTAGCGTGGTATCAATGGAGAGAACAGCATCAACCAATCAGAACCTGGGGATAATTCAAGGATCAATTATCGTAACATTTCAGAATCACTCGAAAAGGGGAATTACATGAGCAGTTTTTTGCATTAGTCTGGGAAGGGTCTGACATGACATTTAGGAAAAGATTTGAGGTGCTATCCGGTTTTTTGAGAGGGATGCCAGATTAAGTGTTGGAAGACAATTTCATGAAAGGATTAAAGCCATATATTCGAGCATCACCTCGTCTACTGAGACTGCTAGGATTGGGGAAAATTATGAATTAGCGTAACGGGTCAAGATAAAAAAGCAATAGAACGAGCTAATAGGAGGAGCACAAGTGGAGCATCACACCACAATGTTACAACCATGATAGTACCAAAAGCTCGATGGAAGTCTAAAGGGAGGTTTCACGGGACAAGAATCATGAGCCACAATCGGGGGCAACACTCAAGCGCCTTATAGAGACAAAGATCCAGGAGAAGTGAGTCTATGGGTTATGCTTTCAGTGTGATGAGAAATTTATCCTGGGACACCGTTGCAAAAATCAAACATTAAATAATCTCACATTCTGTGATGAGGAGGCAGGGGATGAAGAAATAGAGGAAGCTGTGGTGAAGATGGATCTCCGTCATTTTTTTCACTTTGATGACAATGTGTCTTTTTGGGAGGGGAGTAATATTATTAGATTGGCACCTAAGAGCAAATTTGTCTTTTGTTTGCCTGGTAACAAGTTAGTATTTTGTCATTTATTATGGTTTTATAAGTTGGGCTATATGTTTAAGGTTAGGGTTATGCATGAGATTGTTGTCTTGGAGTCTTAGGATTAAGGTTTTGGAGAGATTCTCTATATCTCGAATTGTAGGATTTGGGAGAGATCGCCTACTTATCGAATTATAGGTGCTTATCTTTATGTTTTTGTGTTGTGATCTTTGGTGTTTTTGACATAAAAATATTTTGTGGTTTCTCAAAGTTTTGATCTTTTGAACTCTTGCTACATTTAAATTGAAAATTATAGTGCAATTAGGTAGAAAATGGACATTAAATGGATAATAAATCGATACTCACAATTTCCACCTTCTTTTTATATTTTGAGCTTTATGAACATCCATTCTTATGAACTTATACACTAATGGGAAATAAGGAAATGGAATCTTCATTACTTCTGTTTTTCATTAATTTCACCTCCATTAATGTTCCACTGAACTCAGCAACTTCCCTCCTTATTCACTTCATTTCACCACTGTGATCTGCGGAATAAGTGCTACCACTTCATTGATCTATGGACTGTTGTAATTGATTTGAAGTGATTGTTCTAACTACTTATCAATTCGTGGACTATTATAATTATTTATCGCTACCAATGTTGGAATAAAATTATCAATTAATTCTCATTACTTCTTGTCAAGAAAGAAATAATTTAGTATTGCTAATATTGTTGATTACTGGTGTTTATATGATTTACCATTGCTCTCCATTAATAACTCCATCAATATATCTATCAATACATCTATTTTTGTTTATATCCATTCCTTCTTTGAGGTGGATCACGTTTCAAGTTTTTTGAGTCTCATTCACGTTACTCTCTTTTATGAATTGGTCATACTCCTGCAATACTCGCAATCCCTGGATAAGAAGACCTTTGATGACCACATTTTTGAAGACTATTATTTCCAAGCTCAAGTTGATATCTTCTATGCTTTCCTTGTTTTCTCTCTCTTCTCACATTGTTGTTATCTTCAAACAAAGGAAATTTAAGCAATTGTTGTGTTTCTATCAGAAGACGCTAGATTACCACATAAAGCTTTTCACTACATCTATAGCAAGATAACTTTACTAAAAATTTCTGAAGTTTAAACTACATGGTTTGAACCTGTTTTCACATTCTGACATGTCATTTCCACATTTTATTGCTCTATAGCTTAGGAGGGAGTTCAGCAATGAAGTTGGCGCTGCAATGGCAGCAGTCCAATCACTTACAGCAGCAGCCTCATCATATGGATCGGCAGATCTCACTCAACTTTTTAGAATTGCAACCCAAGAAGCAAAGAATTCTCGTTCACAGGGTCGTCTTCTTAGAGTGGCAAGTTTATTTACAGTTTCTATGCTTCTAATATTTTTTCACCGGTACTTCTTGTGCCCTAAGGCCCCTAAATTTTAGGAAGATTTACATACATACCACTAAATACCTATGTATATACATATCTAACATTAATTTTTACATGCATGCCACCTTACCTATTCGTAAAATGATTTATTTCATTTTTTAAAAGTTAAAGTGGTGGTATTTTTTATGTGATATGAAACATTTGGGTGCTATAAATGTAAAAAGTAAATTCCAGGTGTTAGATGTGTAAATACATAGGAATTGGATGGCATGTATGTAAATGGCCCAAATTTTTAATAATACTAATGTGTGGCCATTCAGCATCATTGCGTGCAATCTTTTGTATCATGCTAGTAGTGCCCGTTGAGTGTTTTCAACCTTGTGGTTTTGTTCCTTGTTTTGGCTTCTATTCTGCGGCATCTTACTCCTTATATCAAATCTTTGGGCTGCTTAATATTATAAAATCAGTTTTTTTTCTTAATTTGTCTGAGTGCGACTAGAACATTATGTTGATAGGTTGATCTGGTATATATTTATAACCTTGTTTTAACTTTGAGGTTATAAAGTAATCTTCTTTTTCCCATGGCCAATTCATTCTCATGTTAAATACTTTCTGGTTTTTTTATTGGAAATTTATTAAACTTTCAAACGTTGATGTGCCGTTTGGTCTGTGGAAAAGCTAAGCTGAGAAAACTATTTCGGTTTCAGGTTTAGCTTATGTTTTTTTTGACATGCATTAAATTATCAATGACTTTATGCGTGTCAATTTAATAGGTTGGTTAGTTGATTATGATTATGCTCTTGATGCTGATTATGTTATGAGAATAAAGTTCAATAAAAGTTTATCAACATCTCATTAAAATTTTAACATTTACACCATCGATAAGCATTGAAAGTACTTCTTAATTATCAAATAAACATCCTAGTATAGCTATGAAATCTTGCATGTTGCTTCCATAACATATCTGATAGGCAAAGAACAATAAATGAATTTTAAAATATAACCAAAAAGTAGAATCCAAACTAACATTGAAGTGTGAAATGATGAGCAAATTTAGGTGCAACATTAGCAAGACCAACACATGCATCACACATGAATTTGAAATTTTGGCATGTTGTTCAACACAACCTAATTACTAGCCTCCTTGTTGAAGGGGTGCATTAGGTAGTCAACAACTGGCGTAAAAATTATGACGAAAAATTATGACATGAATTTTTTAAATCATTGTTTAAATGCTAGGACGTCCCTTGAAAGCTAGGCGTTGTATTGACTGAACTTAATAAAATATATGCAAGGCCCGCTGCATTGACAACCGGTTTTAGTGTTAAATATGTAAATGTTCCCTTATTATAGACTGATGCGGGCAAAGAAATTAGTCCATGAAACTAATATTATGATAAGAATTTGAAATATAGATATTCTTATTGGTAAATTAATTAAATTAGTAGATATTATGGTTTATAGGAAGATAAATAGCTTATTTATTCAAGAAACTAAATGGTTTGGAGAAAAGACTAAGGAGATTAATAATTTAGGTTTTAAATTTTGGTATTCAGGTAAGAGTTCGATATAATTTTTTTCACAAAAATTAAGACAAAAAAAAATTTTATTTATCGAACACCAAATCAAAGCAATACAACACTAATAACTCACATGAACATAAAATATAAACTCCTACCATTCGATAGGTAGGCGATCTCTCCTACTTCCTATAATTTGTGAGGTAGAAAATCTTTCTCAAACCCTAAACCTAAGATAGAAAATCTCATGCCTAAGCCTAACCCTAAATATAATAAGTCTATTTGTACTCAACAATAATAATGAGAAAAGAATAAATTATCGTTAGACGTATAAAATACCAAATTGCCCTTAGGCTAGGCATGTCTGTAAAAACCTTCCTCCCTAAAAGACACCTTGTCCTTAAGGTGGGAACAGTGAGTGTTCCTTCACTACCACGATTGTCACTATTTATGCATCATTTGACTCCTAGTCACACACTATGAAAACTTGTAATTTTTAATACTTGCAATGGTGTCTCATGGTAATATTTTCATCACACTGAAAACATAACTCCTTGATTCACTTCTCCTGAATCTCTACTTTTCTAAAGCTCTTAAGTGTCTCTCCCAGTCATGTCTCATTATTCGTATCCCATGTAGCCTACCTCCCGACTTTCACTATTTGAGCTTTTGATATCGTCGTGGTTTTAGCGGTTTGGTACAATGCTTTATCCGTGTTGCTCTTGCTGGTATTCTCCATCTAGCTCTTGTCTGCCATTTAGGCTAGCTCCATCGTCTCTCTCAATCCACGTGTTTCAATAATCAGAGTGTTTGTTGTATGTCGGGCTTTAAGCCCTTCATGAAATTCCCCTACTATCCTTCTTTAGAAATCCCCTTATCCATTCCAACAATAGCTTCTCCCTATATTTCGTGAAAGCCACCTCCTGATTCAAGGTATTAAGTTGATCGTGTAGGTCTCATTCCCGAATGGCTTGGAAATGTTCTAACAAGCAATCCTTAAATTCTTTTCACGAACGGATCATGTATATTGCCTCCCTCCATTAAAATCATACTAGGGCTTTCTCGTCCAAGCATAATCCTGCTGCCATGAGTTTCTCCTCCCGATTAGCCCATTCACTGCGAATTATTGTTCTACGTGGTTTGATGCTTGGAAGCTATGCTGAACTTCAAACTCCGCGATCCAATTTTCTGTATGTTGTTTCGGGCCGAAACTCCTTTACCCTTTGATCCGATCACTATTTAGATTAGGAAGGCGTGAAACGTTGTACATCGATATGTTACCTTATTGGCAAGCTATGATCATATTTATATCGCCGACACTGTGGAAGGAGGATAAACGTGTGTCTGATTCCGTTGATACCAAGGATTGAACTCCACAATCTTGTCGGTGCTTCCAACTTGTTTGATCGCACACAACTGTCCAGTTATCCCTTCTTCGTGAGCTCTAAGTGCGATTGTATTGTCCGACTAAGGAGGAAAACGGAGTTCCAGGTATCTATCTGCTTCTTCCCAGTTATTGCCTTCCCAACTAGCTATAATCACGACTCTAACGTGTTCATGGAGCGGAAGGAGGCAAAAGATGGTTTTTTGGGTTTCAATTAGCCGTGATCCTTCGTATCGAAGCTTCTTAGCTAGCTCCGATGTGACTGTACATGAAGACGGCATGCAAGGAGGCAAAAGGTGGAGTTTCGGGTCTTGGTAGGCCTCGTTCCTTCGCGTCGAAGCCTTCCCAGCTAGCTTTAATCATGACTGTACACGAAAACGGTGCGACCCGAGATTTTGTGATCCCTTCATTGCCTTCCCAGTGAGCTTAACTCACAACTGTATGGTACACTAGCACTCGATCAAAACTCTAGCTCTCAATCCGCTTGTTCCTTCCTCTTTGATGCCCATAACTGATTGCTTTGATACCAATTTAATACGATTCAACCTCAAAATCGGCACCTTTTCTATAAAAATTAATGCAAACACATTTTATGTCTCGAGAGCAAATCAAAGCAATACAACACACATAACTCGCACGAATATAAAAGATAAGCACCTATAATTTGAGAAGTAGGCGATCTCCTAATCTTTATAATTTGAGAGGTAGGAAATCTCTTCCAAAGCCTAAACCTAAGATACAATACTTAATCTCATGCCTAAATCTAACCATAAACATAACAAGCCTATATATGCATAAAAATAATAGTGAAAAAAGACTAAATTGCACTTAGGCTTACAAAAGATTAAATTACTCTTAGGCTAGGCAATGGTTTAACAGGGTTGATATTGTAAAAATTAATAAAATTGAAGATAAAATAATAGCTCTAAAGATTCATGTTGATACTAAAATTTTTAATATTATAAGTGTTTATGATCTATAAGTAGGTTTGGATATATACACAAAAAAAAAATTTGAATGACTTAAGAATAATTAATACAAAAGATATTTTTGAAAACAGATTTTTTATTGGAGGAGATTTATATGGACATGTCAATTTTTGGGGTGACAAATGAAAAATGTAGAATCATATTAGTTTTTGTTTTAGCTTATTATTATTTTATTAATATTACGTTATGTAAAAAAAGATGAGCATATTATTACTTATAAGAATAGATCTAATAAAACACAATTTGATTTTTTTTTGAGAAAAATATATCGTCGATGTTTTAAAAATTATAAGGTCATTCCAAGATAAAATTTAAGTATCAAACATCGATTATTAGTTTTGGATTTTAAGATGAAGAGCTGAAAGATGAAAAAAATAATATAATTAGATGCGGCGCTTAAAAAACAAACAAAATTATTTTTTGAGTAAATTTCAATATCTTAAGATTTGAGATGTTCATGAAAAAATAATACTATGTGAGATAAATTAATGAGTATTATTAAGCAATTTACAAAAAAATATGTTATTAAAATGAATAAATCTTATAAATAAAAATAGTTAGTTATGGAACAATAATGTGTAATAAAAGTTAAAAAAATAAGATTATATTAAAAATTAGTTTAGGTACAAAAACTTAGAGAATTAGGAAATATGTAAGATGAGCCATTGAAAATTTAAGATAAGGTGACCCATTAAGAATCTAAGATAAGAATTTATGATGCTAAGAATTCTGCTTTTAATGTTCTTTATAATAGATTATATAGTAAAGATGATGAAAGATATATGTAGAAACTTGCCAAGCAAAGAGATAAGAAAACTAAAAATTTAGTTCAAGTTAAATGTATTAATGAAAATCAGAGTATATTTTTCTTAGATAAGGATATTCATATAGGTGGGTAAAATATTTTGGTAATTTTTCAATGAAGTTTATGAAAATATAATCGAATTTAGTGATCTTAATATCGTAAATAATATAAAATTTTTTATTTTTACTTCACATTAGTGAAACAAAAGTTTAGGAGGCTTTAAAGAAAATGAAGAGTGACAAAACAGTAGGGTTTGATAGTATTTCAATAAGTATGT